GTATGAGAAGTAGGTTCTAGAATTTAGTTTCTGACACAAACAAAAATTTTGGATGATAGAAAGTAAACATGTTACACAATTTAGGGGCATTATTTGTGATGGCTGAGCCAATGCTTGAGATATTCACACACAGCCATCATGAACAATCCCTAGAATTGTATAATATGTTTACTTCCTATGGCAGTCTGCTCCATCTAGTGGCCATAATGCAGTATTTTCCTGAAATACGGCATAATGGCCACTGGATGGAGCTAAAAATCATAGAAAGTAAATGTATTACACATATTATGGAGATTTTTTGTTACAGCTGTGTGAATTCTTCAGACATTTGCTCAGATTTTTAAAAAAACCTGCTACCGTGCCTTCTTGCCTGACCCTACTGTGCTTCCCTCTTATCCTGATTTCTTCTATATTGTTGTTAACCCCTTTCCGCCCAGCCTAGAATCTCTTTAACAGGGTCTTTACACTAGGGGGTAGATGACTAGCCGATCACGTAACCACTGTGATTGATTGTCACAATGGTCACATGTCCAATAATTACCAGAGACCAGAAATGCGCTCTAAGCACAACAACCTTGGCCATACAAAAGCACACAGGAGGGTGCAAATCCCTACCACAAGATTTATTCAAACAATAAACAAAAAGCCAAATCCATAGGCACAGAAGAGAAAAAAAATAATACATTATATAATATCAAATCATGATCTAGTGTGGCATCAAGTGACCTAACCTGTACACCAATGTGTCGGCAAGATGAAAAGTTTCGGGGGGGAACACACCCCCTTCTTCAGAGCTCAGAAGAAGAGGGTGCGCCCCCTGAAACACATCAGCTTGGCAGTGTTAATGCACTGGGCATTTGCGCCCTCCTGTGTGCTCTTCTACATTTTTTTATTGGACTCCCCTACATGAGGAGGGCTAGCACTGTTGGGGTGTTCCAGTAGAACAGTTTACTATCCACACAGTCAGGTCTGTTGTTAGAAACCACGGAGCTCCCATACAGCCAACCTGACAGGGACCTCCCCCCCCCCCAAAAAAAAAACAAAGTTTACTAGGCTTCAGCTATGAATGAGAACAGTGAGTGACTGGTATCAATCACTTATTGTGTTCATTCAGGAAAGGAAGGGACTGGTAAATGAGAAATATTTACTTGACATTTCCCCCGCTCTCCATTCTGAAGGATCTTGTTGTGTGTTTGCAGCTGCTGGTGGGAAGGAGAGGAGGGAAGCCGGCAGCACTTCGGGAGTGGGGGCACACAGGGGGGCCTGGACAGCATAGGGAAATGTGTAGTTCACAGGGAGGGTGATTGGTGTGTGGGGTTGCAATTACTGGAACCGATCCCCTGTATGGGTCTCTCTGCAGCAGCTGAAAGCCAGCGGGAGGGAGAGGAGAAGAAGCCAGCTTTCAGCTGCTGTAGAGAAAGCCATACAGGGGTTCTGTTTCAGTAATTGCCTCCCCATTGTGCCGATCACCCCCCCTGCCCACATCTGATTTACCCATCTGCCTGGGCCCCCCCCCCCTGCTAGCCTGGGCCCCGTACAGGAGGACTGGTGGTGTCCCCTTATCCACGGCCCTGCACACTATACTTCTGTTTTGCAGCAGTCCTCTGAGCACTGGGGGTGTTTGCTTGTTGGCAAAACCCTTGGCCGCCCATGGTCAAACTAGTGCGGCATGTGTTAATTGAATATATCAAAGCACAGCAGAACTGCAGGATACTTGGTAACCTGACAATAGTTTCAAAATACATTCAATGTTTCACTGAATATACATGGAAACAATGTATCTTTTTAAACATTTTATACATTTCTATTCCGATGATCTCAGCAAAGACTCAGTGGAGTGGAATAATTTCTTGTTAAATATAGAAGAATTCTATTCTGTACAATGTCACACGTTTCCAGATGGCCACCACTAAACGGTAGCATAAACTTCCAAGACAAGATGTTTATAGACCCCAAACAGGAACCTTTCCAGGGAAGGTGAGCATATAGCTGGAAAGTGTCGCAGTCATTGATATGGGGAAGCCGCACTCAGGCAGCACAGGAGTGTTGGGTTCAGTTGTTAATCTTCCAATGGTAGATTCATTTTAGGAGGGGAAAAGCAGATATTCTGCAAGTCTACGTCCTTCTGTGACAGAACTATTTCCTTTACTTAGCAATGACAAGGGACTTCTTCTGTTGAAGGCTACTTCATTCGATAAACCTTAAAGCTGAAATGCCATGAGCCAAAAACTATAGAAAAATGACACTTGAAAGTATATTTTCCAATTTTGCAGTCAAATTGGGATAACATCCATTTTATATTTGTTACATGTTCTCATTCACATATCAAAGCTTAGAAAATATATTAAAATTGAAAATTGGTGCTAACATTTTACTTGCTGATTTCTGAAAATAACAAACCCTGACTGTACTGTGCTGGCAGATCTAATTCAGTTGTAAACATTGTCTTTCCTGACAAAGAGTGTAAGATCTAGAAGCTGAGCTTTTGCATTTTTGGTAATGAGGGGAAACTCAGTGTGTCCTTCTTTGACTGTAGGGGCAGATTCAATTTCCTCTCGCTTCAAATTGTTCAAAGTAGTTTGCGGTCTTCCTGAGGCCTCCTCCAATCAAACTCCTGGAAAGGTAAGAAATGGGTAAGTTAATTGGCTCCCCTAGGAAACACTAGGCAACAATAAGAAACTGAGACCAGATTATATATAAATTTCTTCTCACTTCAAATTGTTGAATGTAGTTTGAGGTCTTCCTGAGGCCTCCTCCAATCAAACTCTTGGAAAGGTAAGAAATAGGTAGGTTAATTGGCTCCACTAGGAAATACTAGGCAACACTAAGAAACTGAGACCAGATTATATATAAATTTCCTCTCATTTCAAATTGTTCAAAATAGATTGCGATCTTCCCGAGGCCTCCTCCAATCAAACTTCTGGAAAGGTAAGAAATGGGTAGGTTAATTGGCTCCACTAGAAAATACTAGGCAACACTAAGAGGCTGAGACCAGATTATATATAAATTTCCTCTCACTTTAAATTATTCAAAGTAGTTTGCGGTCTTCCTGAGGCTTCCTCCAATCAAACTCCTGGAAAGGTAAGAAATGGGTAGGTTCATTGGCTCTACTAGGAAATACTAGGCAACACTAGGAAACTGAGACCAGATTATATATAAATTTCCTCTCATTGCAAATTGTTCAAAGTAGTTTGTGGTCTTCCTGAGGCCTCCTCCAATCAAACTCCTGGAAAGGTAAGAAATGGGTAAGTTAATTGTTAATTGTAAGTTTCCACTAGGAAACTGTCAGGAATGGACTGGCCAGCAATAGTGGGACTCAGCTGCCTTATGAGCTGCAGTACCAGGGCTGGCCAGCGGGTGCTCCCAGCAATCAGAGACTCAACCTTGCAGCCAGTCAAACACCTGGAACTAATCATACTGGTGTATTTAAGGGACATTCAGACCTGCAGACTCTGCCTTAGTGTTGTGTTTCTCTTGGGCCTTGTATCCTGTTCCTGCTCCCTGTTCCTGTCTGATTCTCTGCTGACCCTGCTCTGATCCCTGGCTTGTCTGACCATTCTCCTCTGCCTGACCCTCTGTACCACGCTGCCCGCTACCTGCTGAACCTGGCCTGTGACCCCGACCATTCTCCGCTTGCTCCCCCTGTACCTACCTGCCCGACTGATATTGACCCGGCCTGCCTGACGACGCTTGCATTGTATGTACTGTAATCTGTGGGTGGTTGGTTGGTTTGTTTGCACTGTGTTATGTTTAGTATTGCACTGCGTTTATGTTTGTATGGTTAGTGTTAATAAATTACATTGTTTATAACATATCTGAAGTCTGCGTTTCCCTGCGTCAGTCACACACTTCTGGTCATACCCGGGAGCCCTGACATTACACCAAGGCCAATCCTGACCAGAAGTGGCTGCACAGGGAAGCCATCTTGGTTTGTTGATGGGAAGGATGGATCTGGATGAGGTTGCGTATTTATATCTGCTAGTGTTTGATGACAGGGAGTATGCTTATCAAACTCTGAAGGAGTATCCCCGGGATGAACTGCTAGAATGTATACGGCTCGCTCATGTTCTAGTAGATCAGGGCACAGAGTTCTCTATGGTGCAGCCTTTGATTGAGGTTTGTGCTGAGTTGGTTTCATCTGGTTCCCCCGAATGCAGGGATGAATTTTTGCCACCATTTAGTGCAGACCAGGTAGAGTCCCTGGTGTGATTATTAGAGGATGATGTGGGTTACTTTCTGGAGCGTTATTCCACATGTTCACCACAGACACTAAGAGATTGTATAAACGCAGTACAGTCATTGACCAGACAGGCTTTGTATAAGCTCAGCTTTGTTCAACCCCTACTGCAGACATGGACAGACTTGTTGCACCCAGCCTCAGTCAGCTTACAAAGACCCAGTCCTGCTTCTAATCTATTTCCTCAAAGCTCTATTCCTGCATTCCCAACAGCTCCTCCTGCCCTGCTATCTACCGCATGTCAGTACCCTGTTCCCACTCGCTGCACCTATCCTGCCTTTAACCCTGTAAAAAAGCCCTCTGTAGCAACTGCTCCCTCTCCTGTTCCATCCTCCAGCTCTTCTCTGTCTCCAGCTGCTCCATTCGTTTGCAGACCTGTGTTTACTTGCAGTGCTCCAGTAGTTAAAACCAGAAAAAAGCGAAAATTCTTTCCAACCAATACCATCCTGCCAGTATCCAAACCGGTGAGCCTGCCGTCTGAGAACCTGCCTTCCGTGGTTCAGCCTGGTGCTTCGGCACCCACCATTCAGCCTGATGCCTCTATTCAGCCTGGTGCCTGTACCCGGCCTGGTGCCTCTACTCAGCCTGGTGCCTCTACTCAGCCTGGTGCCTCTACTCAGCCTGGTGCCTCTACTCAGCCGGATGCCTCTACTCAGCCGGATGCCTCTACTCAGCCGGATGCCTCTACTCAGCCTGGTGCCTCTACTCAGCCTGGTGCCTCCACTCAGCCTGATGAACTGATCCAGCCTGATGACCCTTTTAGGCCAGTTAACTCGATACCCGCTGTTGATCCAGACGATCCGGTACCTGATCCAGTGCCCGCTGTCGTGCCAATTGACTCAGAGCCCGCTGTCATACCTGGTGACTCGGTGCCCACTGCCTTGCCAGATGACGCGGTGCCCGCTGGCGAGCCAAATGACCTGATGCCTGGTGACCCAGTGCCCGCTGTCATACCTGGTGACCCGATGCCCGCTGTCGAGCCAGACAATCCGGTACCTGATGACCCGGTGCCCACTGTCGTGCCTGTTGACTCGGAGCCCACTGCCTTGCCAGATGACGCGGTGCCCGCTGTCAAGCCAAATGACCTGATGCCTGGTGACCCGATGCCCGCTGTCCAGCCAGACGATTCAATGTCTGCCCCAGTGCCCGCGGTCATACCAGTTGACTCGGAGCCCACTGCCTTGCCAGATGACGCGGTGCCCGCTGTCGAGCCAAATGACCTGATGCCTGGTGACCCGATGCCCGCTGTCCAGCCAGACGATCCAATGTCTGACCCAGTGCCAGCGGTCATGCCAGTTGACTCGGAGCCCACTGTCGTGCCTGGTGACTCGGTGCCCGCCGCTTCGCCTGGGGGCCCGAGACCTGTCGCTCCACCTGGGGGCCCGCCGCTCCGCCTGAGGGCCCGAGACCTGTCGCTCCACCTGGGGGTCCGGCGCCCGCCGCTCCGCCTGAGGGCCCGAGACCTGTCGCTCCACCTGGGGGTCCGGCGCCCGCCGCTCAGCCTGAGGGCCCGAGACCTGTCGCTCCACCTGGGGGTCCGGCGCCCGCCGCTCCCCCTGAGGGCCCGAGACCTGTCGCTCCATCTGGGGGTCCGGCGCCCGCCGCTCCGCCTGAGGGCCCGAGACCTGTCGCTCCGACTGGGGGTCCGGCGCCCGCCGCTCCTCCTGGGGGCCCGATGCCTGTTGCCCCGCCTGGGGGCCCGATGCCTGTCGCCCCTCCTGGGGGCCCGGCGCCTGTCGCCCTCCTGGGGGCCCGATGCCTGTCGCCCCGCCTGGGGGCCCGATGCCTGTCGCCCCGCCTGGGGGCCCGACGCCTGGGGGCCCAACGCCTGGGGGCCCGACGCCTGTCACCCCGCCTGGGGGCCCAATGCCTGTCGCCCCTCCGGGGGGCCCGGCGCCCGCCCGCTCCGCCTGGGGGCCCGATGCCGGTCGCCCCGCCTGGGGACCCGACGCCTGTCGCCCCGCCTGGGGGCCCGATGCCTGTCGCCCCTCCTGGGGGCCCGGCGCCCGCCCCGCTCCGCCTGGGGGCCCGATGCCGGTCGCCCCGCCTGGGGACCCGATGCCTGTTGCCCCCGCCCGGCGGCCCGATGCCTGTTGCCCCGCCCGGGGGCCCGGTGCCTGCTGCTCCGCCTGGGGGCCCGCTGCCTGCTGCTCCGCCTGGGGGCCCGGTGCCTGCTGCCCTGCCTGGGGGCCCGGTGCCTGCTGCTTCGCCTGGTAATCCGATGTGCCTCTGCCCGGAGTCCTGCCCGATGTGCCTCTGCCCGGTGTGCCTCTGCCCGATGTGCCTCTGCCCTCCAGCCCGATGTGCCTCTGCCCGGAGTCCGGCCCGATGTGCCTCTGCCCGGAGTCCGGCCCGATGTGCCTCTGCCCGGAGTCCGGCCCGATGTGCCTCTGCCCGGAGTCCGGCCCGATGTGCCTCTGCCCGGAGTCCTGCCCGATGTGCCTCTGCCCGGAGTCCAGCCCGTGTGTGCCTCTGCCCGGTGTGCCTCTGCCCGGTGTGCCTCTGCCCGATGTGCCTCTGCCCGGAGTCCAGCCCGATGTGCCTCTGCCCGGAGTCCAGCCCGATGTGCCGCTGCCCGGAGTCCTGCCCGGTGTGCCAGTCTTTGATATCCCGCCAGTTACCAGACCCGGGCGGTGGAACATTTTGCCCAGCTAGGACTGTTTGGAGCATCCTGAGGCCGCTCCATGAGGGGGGGTACTGTCAGGAATGGACTGGCCAGCAATAGTGGGACTCAGCTGCCTTATGGGCTGCAGTACCAGGGCTGGCCAGCGGGTGCTCCCAGCAATCAGAGACTCAACCTTGCAGCCAGTCAAACACCTGGAACTAATCATACTGGTGTATTTAAGGGACATTCAGACCTGCAGACTCTGCCTTGGTGTTGTGTTTCTCTTGGGCCCTGTATCCTGTTCCTGCTCCCTGTTCCTGTCTGATTCTCTGCTGACCCTGCTCTGATCCCTGGCTTGTCTGACCATTCTCCTCTGCCTGACCCTCTGTACCACGCTGCCCGCTACCTGCTGAACCTGGCCTGTGACCCCAACCATTCTCCGCTTGCTCCCCCTGTACCTACCTGCCCGACTGATATTGACCCGGCCTGCCTGACGACGCTTGCATTGTATGTACTGTTATCTGTGGGTGGTTGGTTGGTTTGTTTGCACTGTGTTATGTTTTAGTATTGCACTGCGTTTATGTTTGTATGGTTAGTGTTAATAAATTACATTGTTTATAACATATCTGAAGTCTGCGTTTCCCTGCGTCAGTCACACACTTCTGGTCATACCCGGGAGCCCTGACAGAAACACTAGGTAACAATAAGAAACTGAGACCAGATTATATATAAATTTCTTGTCACTTCAAATTGTTGAAAGTAGTTTGAGGTCTTCCCGAGGCCTCCTCCAATCAAACTCCTGGAAAGGGAAGAAATGGGTAGGTTATTTGGCTCCACTAGGAAATACTAGGTAACAATAAGAAACTGAGACCAGATTATATATAAATTTCCTCTCACTTCAAATTATTCAAAGTAGTTTGAGGTCTTCCTGAGGCCTCCTCCAATCAAACTCCTGGAAAGGTAAGAAATGGGTAGGTTCATTGCTCCACTAGGAATTACTAGGCAACACTAGGAAACTGAGACTAGATTATATATAAATTTCCTCTCATTTCAAATTGTTGAAAGTAGTTTGAGGTCTTCCTGAGGCCTCCTCCAATCAAACTCCTGGAAAGGTAAGAAATGGGTAAGTTAATTGGCTCCACTAGGAAATACTAGGCAATACTAAGAAACTGAGACCAGATTATATATAAATTTCCTTTAATCTCAAATTGTTCAAAGTAGTTTGCGGTCTTTCCAAGGCCTTCCCCAATCAAACTCATAGAAAGGGAAGAAATATATTTTTAAAACTATTTTAGCGAATGCTGTCAGGAATCAGCAGCAGAGATGGCCAAATCTATGTAGATAACTAGGAAACTGAGACTAGACTATATACAGTAAAGTACATTTATTATTAGTAAAACAAAAGATATCCAAACACCAACAAACAGCAACCATAGAAATACAAGTGAACCACCACAACAATATGTACAACAATGGGGAACACGGATTAACAGGGTAGACTAGTGATGCAGGGAACAGATAGGAAGGGGGAACCAGGACTGAGATCAGGTACAAGGAGAGCAGAAATAAGGCACAGGGTACAGGATGTAGGGCAAGAACAAGATCAGGAGCCGGGATGAACGGCACACAGCATCTGGTTAGCAAAGCAAAACACTGACCCAAGATGTAATAGTGGAGGAGGGACTAAATACTCTCCCAGCAGCCAGCATCAGGTGGAAACTGATTACTGGAATCTACTGGCTGCTGGGAGACACCAGCTGGTGGACAACAGAACTACAACAGCCCACTCTGGGAAGCACAGTGCCACCAGTAGGTGATTCAGATCCTGACATATGCTGTCTGAATGGAAATGCATACTGTGACACATAGTATGGGTTTTTCAAACTTGACTGCAAAAGTGGAAATACACTTTAAAGGTACCAACATGGAGAAATGTATTCTCATGCAACTTATATTAAATATGTACAGATGTTTAATTAATAGGCCTTTAAAACATATATGCCATTATTTATTTATTTCAGGTACTTATATAGCGCCGCCAATTTACTCTGCGCTTTACATATATATTGTACATTCGCATCAGTCCCTAACCCTCAAGGGGTGTACAATCTAAGGTCCCTAACTCACATTCATACATACACATACTAGGGACAATTTAGACAGGAGCCAATTAACCTACCAGCATGTCTTTGGAGTGTGGGAGGAAACCAGAGGACCCGAAGGAAACCCACGCAGGCACAGGGAGAACATGCAAACTCCAGGCAGGTGGTGCTGTGGCTGAGCTTCGAACCAATGACCCGAGTACTGCCAGGTGGAAGTGCTAACCATTTAGCCACTGTGCAGCCGAAGATCAAAATTATTATCTCTTTGCAATATTAAAAATCTCTATAAACATGTTGGCCTCCTATCAGCCCAAAACCCTCAGCAGATCTTATACATCCAAGAACTACTTTAAAGGTAAAAAAAATTCTATTGCGGTCACATCTCTCACAGTTATCTGCAAAAGAATGTAACCAGTTCTCGACGCGTTTCATAGATCATACATCTGCTTCCTCAGGAGATACATAGATGATAGATCTAAAAAATTATAACAATATAATCAGAACACTGGATATATAAGGTAAGAGTTCACACAACTAGTGAATATCTATCATGTGATGTCTACACTTACAATTAGATTTATGAATTTCACTACCTAGATGGTAAAATGCCTAAATCAAATTTCAAGTGTAGACATCACATTATGGATATTCTCTAGTTGTGTGAACTATTACCTTATATATGCAGGGTTCTGATTATATTATTACAATTTCATAGATCTATCATCTCCTACTTATCTAATGAAGAACCAGATGGATAACCTGGAAAACACATTGAGAAGGTGGATAAGTCCAAGGGAAGATAAGTGTGTAAAAACAGGATGGAAAAAGTCACCAAAGCCTTTCAGGTGTCAAAAATCACCCCTCACCAGGCCTTGGACAATGTAAAAAACTGTCTATTGCACTCAAAGCAAACGTTCCTGAAAGTGAATCTCCAACAGGAGAAATAATTGGTGTGTAACTGGGTCTGCCTGTACGGCTGAGTGATAGGGACCACATTTCTCTCTGCATAAGAGCTGTCTCTTGTCCTGGCTTTCAGGCCTGTGCTCAAACACACGTCTCTCAGCATGGGCACCATCTCTTCTTTTGGCATCAGGGCTGGTGCTCAGGCATTTGACTCTCAACATGGGTGACGTCTCTTCTCCTGAGTGCTCAGGTTCACATCTCTGAGCAAAGGCATTGCCTCTTGTCCCGGCATTGTGGCTGACACTCAGGAGCATACCTCAAATCACATGTACCATCTCTACTCCTGGCGTTGGGGCTGGTGCCCAGGCACACATCTCTAATCACAGGTGTTATTTCCTCTCCTGGCATTGAAGCTCAGGCACACATCTCTAAGTACAGGCATCAACTCTTCTCCTGGAGTAGGGGTAGGCATTCAAGAACTTGTCTCTCAGAGCAGGTGTCATCTCTTCTCCTGGACTGCAGACTGCAGTACAGGCACACATCTCTCAGTGTGGGTGACATCTGGTTTGGCACTCAGGTATACATTACTCAGGCATCGTCTCTTCTCTTGGCATCGGGGTTGGAGGTCAGGCACATGTCTCCCAGCACAGGCGCCATCTCTTCTGGGTTGGGGCTGGTACTCAGGCACATGTCTCCTTGAGCAGGCACTGTCTTTATCATCAGGCTTTCG